ATGCCGTTTTCCGATCCAAGTCGCCTTTATATTTGTTGACAAAATCGTGGAATTCCTTTTTAACAGACTCTAGAATCATCTTCGACTCAGCGGGGTTCATAGTCTCTGAAAGCTCGGCCTGTGTGATGATGGTGTCGTCGAGAGAGTTGAGCTTTGCCATGAATACCTCGACTAACCAACTAGCAACTATCGTTCTTTGTAGAGTGGCAGACTTCTTTGTGTTGGCAAGCTTCGTCAATAGAAACTGTCTCAAGGCATCCGCCTGATTATTGTCAATAATACTGAGCGCAACGTCTTCGAATGGTTTGTTGCTACGACCATACAGCACAGCTGCCTCGGTCCAATGTCCCTTCTTCGCAAGGTAGTCCCCATAGCCCGCTGCAACGGTCTCCTTTTGCGTCTGTGTACGAGCATATTGCAATGCCGAATCAAACTGCCTGTTCTTCATCATTATTTGCCAAATATTTCTTTCTTCGTCTCGGGCAACAATCTCGTATATCTCGTCAGACGTGATGAGCCAAAACGTTCGTTCTTGCATGTCCATGGTGAAGGCAATAGCCTTCTGGCCAGTTGCAAGGACGTCATGTTCAGACACCGTATTGCCCGTGAGGCGGTTGGTGGCAATAACACGATTGCCAACCAGGCTGAGCATGTGCCACTCGGTGAGAAGTAAGGAATCGACAGTCTCTGCGGTCGGTTTATGCCGACCTGTGGACTCCGGAGCGATAATTTGTGCCTTAGATAGCGTCTTTGATTCTGCGAAGACCTTGGATCCAAGGCTGCTGTCTTTGGGGCTATTCAGAAGCTTGCCATGAAACACTCCTTGCGACGACAACCACGCATACGCTCTGTCTGGAGTAGTATCTGCACGACCCCCCTCAGGAGAATCTGGGGAGACCACCACTGTCGAATGGCCGCCGGATGAGCTTCGCGGGATTTCATGAATGAGAGGCTGTTCCGATTCAAATAACTTCGTATATACAGAGCCGCTGCCGTCGTGACTCCGCCCAATCTTGCCCACCAAATGGAACAATCTGCTCTGTGTGCCAATCATGACTCTTCGAGTATCCGGACTGCCCTTCAAATCGTCGACCCACAAGCCCGTAATAGGACCGTCGGGAAGCTTGTGCAGGTTTTTGAGATGCTTGACCTCTCTTTTGTAAAACTCGTTGGCGGTTTCGATGAATGCTTCGTAAATGTTGCCGTCGGAGGCACCAAGGATAATCTCGCGTGTTGACGCAGTTGGGAGAGATGGGTTCCACGCTACACTCTCGATTGCAACGCCGCGCAGCTGGCCCAAGGGCCGAGGTTGCCTTGATTGCGTGTGAAGGTAGTAATTTTCGCCCAGCGCAGTGCAAATCAGTAAATGAGAGGCAGTCGGGTCCAGGAACATGCGCCGAATAACGCCAATCTCGGATGCTCTTTTCGGTAGATCAATATCTGCAGATAGTTAGGAACGATGCTGAGCCTTCACGTGTAGCAGTGCGTCGAGTTCCAGAGGTGACGTACCATCAATGTCCTCCGGCCGCTTCAGGTCGATCCGCAGAATCCGGCCGTTGGATAAGGCCAAGATCATGATGTTGTTCGCTACCTGCGCCGCCACGAACTCCGCCGTCACAGAAAATGCCATTTGAGCGCGTTCCACATTGAAGATGGGTAGCTCGTCGATGCCAGAGGCATCTCCGGTCGGTGCGGTGGCCACGAAGCCATCATTGGGATTGAACGACATGGTGGAAGTCTACAGCCGCATATCCGGTCGAATCTCTTGTACTCTATCGTATGCAAGAGCACAGAATAGAACCAGGTCACTGCGGCAAGGTAAAAAAAAATGGATGACGATGCGCGGGTGAAGCCCATAGGATCGTGGAGGCGAGGTTCAGTGTGTCCTCGATGATGGTGGTTGGAGGAGCTCCCCACTACAACTTGACCTCCATCTCCACATTTGTACGCCTGGCAGTATTTGGGCAGATGGATGGCACATGCCTGCTTGCTGCCCTGGCCGTGAAAGCTCCAAGCATCAAATTGTCTATCCCTTTTCATCAGCAAAATAGGTTGACTAAAGCGAGGTGATATTCATATCCAGTCAACTTGATTCGAAAGTGCGATTGAGCAGCGATGCATCATTTTCTAGTTGTCTAGCCAAGTGCTCAAGCCCAAGCAACTTACCAGGGCCATGTCCACATCGTCAAATTCAGGCATTTGACAAGATCGTGCCTACAGAACAACGTAGACCACAGCTGAGTTCGAATTTTCCAACGCTCTTCCTAGAGATAATTCTTTCCCACTATCAATACTCTGGCCTCAATCCAAATACCTATCAACGTCAAAACGCCGTCGCGGGGGCCGTGCCGCCCATCAACTGGCTGCAATAATAATCAGGTTGCATCCTGCCATAGCTATGTGTCCTCCGAGTCTAGCAACACCCTCGATCTCTTCAACCATCTATTTCAGATGTTGAGTCACTGCTTTCTCCATGTATCGTACTCTCATCTGAGGAGCTGGTAGGAACAGGAGACTCGTCCCTAGAGGGCTTTCTCGCCAAAACAGTGCGCATCTTGAGTACCATGGTCTTGCATGATTCCGAATCTTGCGCGCGACTAGCAATTTCCCGAGCCGTCTCACGACACGCCGTCTTGACAACATCAGCGTCCCATCCCATCTGTTCTGTGAGCGTGCGTAGAGAGTACGCCTCGATTCCATCCAGCCAGCACATTAGCCAGAGTTTACCCACATTGTCCTCCTGCAGATTCATTCGGAGAATATGTTCAGAGACCCGTATATCGACAAAACCAGCCTCCGAGAAGTATTGCTGGTCAAGGTGAAACATGCCTCGTTTTCGACCCGACTTTTCTGCCCCAACAAAGAGGTCGTCCATCATCTTAAAAACAGGCGACTCTGGAGAGAAACCAGAAAAGAATTGGATAGATCCATCCTTGCCGTCGTAGTCTGTCACTTGAATCCACCCGCCGGGCTTCAGTGAATCAAATGCATCCTCATAAATGCATCTCCAGTCGCGAAAGGCTCCTTCCATGCCTCGCAGATGCACCAAGTCATAATGGTCTATAGGTCGGTCCCACTCTTCTGCATCTTCGATTTCGAAAAAGACGTTCATCGGGACTCCTTGGGTCTCCTGTATAGCAGATATGTCTGTTCCTACGACTTCGCAATCGGGGAACAGTTCGGCAAATCTGATGGCCCATTCTCCAGTCCCAGTTCCAACATCCAAGACGTGCGTGGGGTTGCTCAAGGGAGTGATTGTCAGTTCGCCGTCGAATGCATGCATGAGCACTTGGTGTTGTATGGTCAGGCGTAGCTGCTCGATCTCATCATTGGGCATAAAGTATTCTTTGCAGTAGCGACGGCCTCCGATTTCTCGATAGTCAAGCTCTCGTGCCCACAGAGACCGCGTGGATGCGGCCCTGAAATGTAAGTGTGCCTGTTAGCAGACGGAGGAGGATGAAGAGAGAGGACGGCGGCTTACCTATCCGAGTGTGGTTGCCCGTAAGAGCTGTGGACGATATATGCTGTCGTCGAGCTGGCACTGGGACGTCGATGATAATTTCTTCCCGGATACAATGATACTGCCTCACAACCATAACCTGGAGCGTCGTCTTCTACATCTGAGCCAATGTGATGGGAGCCGGACTCGTCATCATCCGCCGCAGAGCTGCTCAAAACTGCCTGGCGCCCCTCGCTCGCAGCTCCATCGCTCTGCGGTTGAGTCCCGTGAAATATCTCAGCTTCAGCAGCGTTATTGGTATCCCCAACAGGTACGTGAGAAGGATTGGCGGCGGCGGGGTTGGTAAAGGAGGGCGACCTCAGTACATGTTGTTGGTGGACCATTCTCTATCTTTCCTTGACTGTCAACAGATTGCGCAGGCCCCTACTATCTCGTGCCAGTGCCGATGCCGGGCAAACGGCATGATACCGCAGACGGAGGCTCCCCAGGCGCTAGAGAGGCTTATTGCCGAGGGCTTGCACCTGGCCAGAAAGCGCAAGTTGCAGACTGAGCTTGTGTGTGACAATACATGCAAGTTGCCGAGTCGTAATGCAGGGACCGTTGGCAAGTTTCTGCAGCTGAGGCATGGATTCGCTGCAGGGGTTCTCCAACATTTATGTACGGAGTAAGGTGAGCAGGTATTTCAGAGCAACGTCGAATCGAGTCGGTCGATGTGACGGCGGAAAACAAACGGAAAACATGGATGAGCATCCATCCCCGACTAGTCGCAGAGGACGCCGAGGAGCTGGGGAGTTGGCCGGCCGGATTTAGAGGCTCGATGTCGGTTACAACTTTGACTTTTTACGTTGGCTGGGTCTGAACTGGAATTGGCCCGAATTGGCGTGACTCGTCGGCGCTAGTCACGGACTGGAGCAGCCTGCATGTGGCATCAGTCGTGGGCGGAGCAGTGGCGGGTGTGACTGGAGGGAGTGAACAAATGAGTGATGCCAATGATTGATTGACTGACGGCTGTTGCGATTGGCAGCCCAGTTTGGCAGGCTCCGGAAACAGGGTTCAGCATGCTATTAACATTGGGCTGTTTACGGAGTATTGAAGTATAATCCTCCTGACCTAGTGCTGCCAATTTGCCTCAAGACATGATCTCCGTGTCCTGGCCCGATCGTCGATACCCGCAACTCTGGGGGCTGCGGCCGCTAATCATGTCCCGAGTTGTTGCAGCGCCCGATGACCATCAAACGGTACATCTCCGTTCCAACCTTGAGAAAACGTTCCATTGATCGTCAACGGTGTTTAATACGACAGCCCCTAAATACACAACCTGCAGTGTTTAGAGCTCGTATCTAATAAAAGAAAGAGAAAAAAAAAAAAAGGAAGAGCAGTCGTGTTTCTATCCCAGTTTCGCATCGCCATGTTAAATCCGTATCCAACCCAAAAAAATCTTCGTCTCATCTATGTCCCATGATGTCGTGTCTTTGTCTTGACACCATTCGACCGTCCACACTCTAGTCCTGTCTATAGAACACGGCATGTTGCAACATTTCTACACCTCTTTCTTGCCATTTGCCAGGCACTCATCTCCTGGTTGAACAGGGTCATCCTTCATTAGATGCTCGAAATCCGGCACGATTTCCCCTTCGCTGACCATTGGGAACGGCGTAAGCACATGGCTTATGTCTCCCCACCACGACTCTCCATACTTGAGGTACCAGTCTACCGTTGTTTTCAAACCGATTTCAAGGCTAGTGTTTTGACTCCATCCGAGCATGCGTAATTTGGTACCATCTACCGCATATCTGCGGTCATTGAATGGTCTGTCGTGCGTATACTTGATCCATTTGCGAAACTGCTCTGACGTTGAATGGTCTATGCCCATTGTGTCAAGCAGTTGAGAACAGAGATCTAAATTTGAGATTTCATCGGAAGAGCCCACATTGTAAATGTGACCAATGTGGCCCTTGTGTAAAATAGTGTCAAATGCATCTGCGGCGTCGCCAGCGTAAAGATATCGCCTTGTGGGACTGCCGTCGCCATGCAATACGACGGGCCGTCCACGGTTTAGAAGGCAAGTGAACTTGGCTATGATTTCTGTCAAGACTTAGTAGATGTTCAGTTGAAGAGGGAAGATGCATGCAAACATTGTTTCCGACATTGAACTTACTTTCGGGGTATTGGTGCGGTCCGTACACATTGTTGCTTCGAACGATTATCGTGGGCAGCTTGAAGCTCTTGTTGTAAGACTGAACAAGCATCTCTGCTGCTGCTTTGCTTGCCGCGTAAGGGTTTGTCGGCGACAGTATGCTCGACTCCACCAAGTCGTCGTCATCTTCCTTCACCTCACCATACACCTCGTCAGTAGAGACGTGGATGAAGCGCTTGATCTCGGCTTTCTTGGCACTCTCTAGCAACACGTGTGTCCCGTAGACGTTCGCATGGGTGAAACTGTACGAGTTGCCAAAGCTCAAATCCACGTGAGACTGCGCTGCAAAATGCAGAACCGTGTCAATTCGGTACCTCTCCATGCAGTCCAAGACCTCGCTTGGATTTGTGAGATCCCCATGATAAAATGTGAAGTTGCGTTTGTCGTTCAACACTCTAGTGTTGTTGAGAGACGAGCAATAGTCCAACTTATCAAATGAAACAACGTTGTACGCTTTTGGGTATGTAAGAGTCAAGTGCCGCACAACCCAAGACGCTCTGCGGGAAGAGTCAATTCATTTATCGACGAACGGCCGTGTTGCCTACTCACATGAAGCCTGCGCCGCCAGTTACCATGATATTTTTGACATCTGGCCGAGGTTCAAAATTCGTCGTGCCCTTGAGTATTGGTGCCTGTTTCCATACGTCAAGGTCTTGCAAGTAGCTGTGTGTGCCGTTGACCGCATTGCCTGCGAGACATCACTGTCAGCAGCTCCCAGATACGAATGCGCATCGTGTCGAAAGCACCGCACTCACTACTCCCTACCCCGTCTGAAACTACGGGTGCAGAAATTTCGGGCGGCAAAGACAAGGACGGCGATGACGATGCCGATGCCGATGCCGATGCCGCTTTCGTTTGTCTTCGTGGGCCGCTGGACACGCCCAGCTGCAGGCTCTTCCAGAGCCGTCGTGTCATGACGGAAGGTGCCAGGCAGCTGACCTCAAATGCTCACAGCTGCGTCACCATACATGACAAGCGCCCGATTGGGCGGGAGAGGTGGTGCAGAGGCTCAGATTGCGAATTGCCAGTTCAAAAAGTCTGTACCAGCAGGCCTGCCCAGACGATTGAGTGAATGCACGATGCTCTGGAAAAATTGATGCGTGCGATGCGGTTGGGTGTAATCAAAACTGCGCAAAAAGCAGTGACAACCGCTGGCATGGTGGCGCGCTATTATTGCATGGCGGAAGCCGTGCCGCCACAAGAGGGTGGTACATTCGGAAACTTGGCAAACTTGGGAACAAACTCAGCTGGTATGGCCAGGTGTAAAAACGTGGAACATTACTCCGTAGTTTTAAAAGTATAAATTGTCGCCCTGGCGGGCTGGTGGGTGGCTGGTGGGTCTGGCCTCCTGTAGATCTCGGCGTAATTTGCAGCGGGCCGCCGTCTCGTCAGATCAATTGATGTCAATTTGTCCTTCGTATTCACGTGACGGCTTACCTTCGTTGCCGCCGCGAGCAATCGATTATTTGCATCATTACAACCGGCCCGTGGTTGTATTTCTACTATGGGTCAGCTCTTCTCGCACAACATGACAGGTCACACCATCACGGCTTGTCTCGGTATTGAGTGGCTTGAAAACGCCATGACCAAAGATATATCCATTACAGGTTGAACCGCTTGCGATCCTTCTCCATCTTGGCTTTCCACTCCCATTGGGTTGCATCCTCGCCCTCACTGCCCGCCCGTCCAATGCCCTTATCAACTCTCCTCAGCTTCAGCGTAAATCGCGGGCCAAGTTCCTGCAAGCCTGCGCGGATCCCCTCTACGCCCTTCATCTCCTTTCCATCAGCACCTACAATACTTTTTTCCGTAGTCCGCTTCTCGCGGAAAACATATCGATGTCGGCGAACAAAAATGTAGTCTCGCTGGTTGTGGAGGGTGACCACCTGGCGACCCTGGAATTCAGGCCGTGGGGGGAAGAGTGTCTGAAACAGCTTGGCTGTGAGAAGGCCCAGCGGCGTCTTGAAATTGTTGAGAAGCAGTTCGGGGTAGTGGTTGGTAGGGTTTCCGTGGCCAGGGAGTTTTCTGCCTTCGATCCAATTTGATATTGAGAAATGAAACGTTGGCCCAGACGGCAGATGGACGACCGACAACCCAGTGGGCTTCTTCAAATCCTCCTTCACAAGAAGAACAGTAGTGTATTCCCTGTTTGTTGCGAACTTGCAAATTTCTCGTAGCGAATACTTGTGCCCATAGCGATGTGAGGATCGGGGGATATATGTGCTATTTGGGAACAGGGTGCCTAGAAGCTGCGCTTCGTAGTGAATAGTAGAGTTGAGAGAGGTTGTGACCAGGACTTTGGGGTCCGGTGCAGGAATATCGCTGAATAAAGATGGGAACTTGAGCGCCAGGGACGACGGTGTCAAGTCGAGGTTTGTGCTTGTGGTTGACGGCGCTACGCTATTATCTCGTTTCGCTCGTTTCTCTCGTTGCTTCTCCAACGCAGCCTGTCTCGCTTCGTCATCTTCATCGTCATCCGAATCCAACATGCTGTCGTTGTCCTCCTCCTCCTCCTCATCATCATCCTTCATTTCCGCGTCGAGGGCCGCCCGTTCCTCAGCTTCAGCTTCCTCCATTTGCCTCCGCCTCAACTTTTCCAAGTCAACCTGAGCGCCCAGACTGTCGTCATTGCCTTCGTCCCATACTCGCTTTTGATCCAATGTGAGTGTCTTGTTCTTGGACAATCGGGCAGCCTTGAGTTCTGGCTCTCTGTTCTCTTCCTTTCTCCGACGGTGTCGAGCTTCTCTTCGCTCTTTTCCAGACGCCTTTTTGTGCTGGATGAAAAGTTCTTGGCGTTTTAATTTATTGGCCGCTTTCAGCGCCTGCACAGGGGGCTTAGTGAAACCCATCATGCAAGTTGAATTAATTGCGCCGGCGGTATAAATTGCAGACTAATAATCAAGTGAGAAAATAGCTGGGCTGGAAATTTTGGCTTAGAGGGGCATAGATGGATAGAAAAAAATCCGGCAGAAAAACGCCAAAAATTTTGGCGGTGAGGGCCAAAAGCCGCATCTGATTGGAGCTGCCAGCCTTCTGGGCCGTATAGCTCTCACAAGAACTTGATCGCGCCAGCATATACATATTGCTAAAAAAAAAAAAACTTGCCTGCGTCTCGATCGCTGCCTTGCACACGACAATTTCAAACAAGATGGTCGTCAATGGTAATAAGAAAAGAAAAACAACTCATAATTCCTCAGACGATGAATCGCACGCTCCAACAACGTCGAAACGAGCGCAGAAGGACTTCTTCAAGCACGCATCCAATTGGAATCTCGAGCAAGACTACGAGTCTCGACCACGAAAGGGGAAGAAGAATGAAAAGGAAAATACCAAACTCCCCATAAAGTCGCAAGATGGTCGATTAGAACTTCTTAAGGGCCTTGACCCGGACGACGATGCGGCTTCCATCGAGAGCGATACCGAGTGGCTTGAGGGCCGTGATGGTGGAGTTGAATCGGAGGACGAAGAAGTAGTGGAGGAGAAAAAGGCAGCAGAAGTTCCAGAGGCCCAGCGAATTCTGGAAGCACAGGAGGAATTAGCCAAAGCCGCCATGGCACTCAATGAAAACCCTGAAGAAAACATCGGCAACTTGAAGACGCTCGCCCAGATCGGCCGGTCGAAAATCCCCACCATCCGCATGTTGGCGCTCATGACGCAAATGACGGTATACAAGGACATTATTCCGGGATACAGAATACGACCTCAATCCGAAGATACACCCAAAGAGAAGCTGTCAAAGGAGGTCCGCAACACACGGCAGTTCGAACAGTCCCTTGTAGCTGGCTACCAAGCGTACATCAAAGAACTCGCACGCTGCGCCAGATCAGAAACAACCCCCGTCCGCGGCGGACAGAGCCTCTCCAATGTCGCCGTCGCATGTGCATGTACCCTCATCACATCCGTACCACACTTCAACTTCCGCTCCGACATCCTGCGAATTCTCGTCGGCAAACTCAGCCGAAGGAAAATCGACAAGGACGCCGCCAAGATCATCGAAGCCCTTGAAACCCTCTTCCGTGACGACGAAGAAGGCCGCCCCTCTCTCGAAGCCGTCTCTCTCATCACGAAAATGATGAAGGCCAAGGAATTTGCCGTCCACGAAAGCGTACTTAACCTCTTCCTCAGTCTTCGTTTGCTCTCTGAATTCTCTGGCAAGGCGTCCCAAGACACCGTGGAGCAACAGCGGGCACAAAAGACCAAAAAGAAGCGCGAATTCCGGACCAAGAGGGAAAGAAAGGCAATGAAGGAGCAAAAGTCGTTGGATAAGGACATGTCTCTGGCCGATGCGCTCGTCAGCCACGAGGAACGAGAACGAATGCAGTCCGAGACGTTGAAGCTTGTCTTTGCCACATACTTCCGCATCTTAAAGCAGCGGTCACCGCATCTGATGGGCGCGGTGCTGGAAGGACTCGCTAAATACTCACACCTGATTAATCAAGACTTCTTTGGCGACTTGTTAGAGGCGCTGAAGGATCTCATCCGCCACAGTGACGAAGACGCCGAGCAGGGTCCCGCGGATGAGGAAGCCGCCGAAAAGGAAGATGACGAAGAGTCGGTACGGAATCTCACCCGCGAGGCCCTCCTGTGCACCGTCACCGCATACGCCCTGCTAGCGGGCCAGGATGCCCATAACTCACGAAACGACCTACATCTTGACTTGTCATACTTCACAACACACTTGTTCCGCTCTCTGCTCTCTCTTTCTGTTCAACCTGATCTCGAAAACACCCGTCTGTCCACGTCCTCTGCCACGTCCAAGATCAACGTCCAAACCACCACAGTGCTCCTTCTTCGCTCGCTGACGGGCATCCTGCTCCCTAATTATAACATCCGTCAAGTTCCTCCTTTGCGCCTCGCCGCCTTCACGAAACAGCTTATGACTACCGCACTACAACTTCCGGAGAAATCATCCCAGGCAATCCTCGCCTTACTTAATGATGTCGCGCACACACATAGCAAGAAAATTAACAGCTTGTGGAACACCGAGGAGCGGAAGGGCAATGGTCAATATAATGCGATGAGCGATTCTGTGGAGGGAAGCAACCCGTTTGCAACTACTGTGTGGGAGGGAGAGTTGCTAAGAAAGCATTTCTCGCCAAAGGTCAGAGAAGGCGTCAAAATGTTGGAAAAGGGCATGTCGGGATAAATACGGTCAAATTTTTAGACTATTCTTTGCATAGCGATTGTCTAAACCTGTCATAAACTCCTCCAAGAGTCTAGTGAAATTAGACACGAAGATACTGATGCTTATTTTTGCAATTCATAGCATTCATAACGTCCCAAGACGCAATCATATTCCCCTTCATCGTTCCTGCATATTATCTTCCAGTGCTGGCTGGCATGTACCACATCAGGTAACACCCAACCATGCAGTCAGACCAAAAAGTCTTGTGCCTCAAAAGCATTTACACTATTAATAAAACGAAGTCACCATTCGATGTCGGAATTCGATGTCGGAATCGTCCGGTTGTAGATGCCCTGCAAATGCGTACCGCCTGTATGTTCTCGATTACCCAGACTTCGGTGGCTGGTGTGCCCATTTGGAAGCTGAAAGACCTTGCATTGGCTGTGGTTGGCGGCTGCCCAAGTTTGGGGCTCCAGCCTGCGTTCCATTCATTGCCATAGTTGAATCAGAGAATGCGTTAGGCATTGGATAGTGAACTGGGACCCAAACTGTATAAGTCACAGGAAGTGCAGGGGTTACTTTTTCGGTAGCTGGCCAGTGTCCGTATGGCGTACCGTCGGAGGATGAACTGAACTGACCGGTAAAGGGCAATTTTTCTCCCTGATGCTGATCGTTATCTGTAACCTCAATTTCTTTCGGTGAAAGATTTTCTATACCACCGTTGGCAGACTCTGCCTTCGACGGTGCAAAAGCAGGCGCCTTTGGACAGAGTTGCTTGCTCTTGGTTGTAAGTAGGTCGGCATTTGCATTGATGGAGACAGGTTGGTCCGCCTTCATTGGTTGATGATGCTGAGAGGTCGTAGTGGTTTCCTCGAAACCATGTTTTTCTTCTTGTTTAGCATCGTCATGAGTCGTAGTGTGGCTAATCTTGACACACGACTGCTTGTCTTGGCTCAAGTGTTCAGACATCTCTTTTTTGGCTAGTAACTCCAAAAATCTATCCATGATGTTTCCTGGATCATCCCCTGTCGAACTTTTCTCCTTGAAGGAGAAAGAGCTGAGTAGTTCGGCAAGCTGGTCGGCCTCCTGCTCATCGGCAGGTTTCTGAGGACTGTCCGCCGGGCTGGTATGGTTGTCTCCGGGCCCTTGAATTAGGCTCTCGGGTGTCAGCGGCGTACTAGCACTGGCTGATGTTGGTGATCTGGGGCCAGTAAAATTCACAGTCGTTTCTGGAGTCGGTGGAAGCTTAACTGTGGGCTTAGGAGTCGCTGCTGATGATCTGGGGCTGGTCAAATCTGCAGTCGTTTCGGAAGTCGGTGGGAGCCTGTTTATGGGCTCAGGAGTCGCAGCTGGCGTCGGGGCTAGGTCATTTCTATTAAGAAAGTCGAACACGGCTTTCCCGATTACAGCATCTTCAGCCCTTAGTTGTCCAATTTGCCAACCTTTATCTAGGACATCGTTACTATAGTGCCTTTGAGAAGGCTGAACAAATCCGGCAGCAGCATATTGTCTATTTTTCTCTGCGTATTGGTTATGCTAAGAAAGACAAAGTAGGATAATTTGCCAGTTACACATACCTGCGACAAGCTGCTGTCGCGTGTGCCAGGTACGATCGCGATGTATTTCGGAGCTGTCCGCAATGTCAATGGCTTCCACTCGTGCTTTGGATTTTCTATCTCTCTTCTCGCTGAACTGCCCTGATTTAAAGCTTTGGGCAAGTGCGATGGCATCCGCTAGTTTCTGCGGATCGTTGAAGGCGGCCATCTCTGTCGTATCAGACGATAATAAAGGGATATTTCGTTCGAGCGGAGGAAACACTTAAGCTATGACTAGAGCAGGATGAAGGAGGAAAAGGAAAAGCACGGTGCGTGGACGTTGATAGTTGCGTAAGTATGTGGCGACAGCTGTCTGGCACCTGCCGAACCCGAGTGTCAGTTTTTGCATAAATATCGCCGTCCTGTCTGCATAATTCACTGCACCTTTCTCCGTTATCAAGTTAAGTAGCCGGTTTCTAATTAGCAGGCATCTCTGTACTTATATGGAGATCAGGAAAGACGCACCCAATGAAATAACCAGCAACTGCAGTTGTGGTTTTGCCGTGGCTAACTTCCCATTCTCAAATTGACGATATATTGATATCTGCTTTTATATAATAACACACTTACGTGGTTTGTTGCGGTTTTCTGGCTCAGGTACGGCCAGCCAAATTGTGTTGCTGTCACTGGGCTCTACCTAATGTAGTGCTTACACGATCATTTCGATAGGTCAAAAGAGAAGAGAGGAAAAAATAATATAACAACACACATTGTTGCCGTTCAATTAGTATCCACGCTATCATCGTTCTGGCTTATACCTGCTACTCCTGCTCTTCCTTTTCAGATCTAAGAAGTCTAGCAGCCTGCGTAATTTTCAGTTTCTTGGCACCAACTACAGTCTCCACCGAGCTTATTTGAGTCGGTCGGTAATGAGGATCATTTTTGCCGTTCAACCACTCAGCATGAATCGTCGGTACATGCTCTTCGACAAACGCCCAAAGAGCATCTGCTCCTGGGGCATCTCTGGTGATAGCAAGAGCGGATACTCTGGCGATCCCTAAACAAGAACTCAACCTATCTGAACAAGGTTTGGAGAAGCCAATCAATTTGATGTTGTGCTGGGGGTCAAGCTTATGTGACGAAGCAGCAACCATCTTTGGGAAATGGCAGTTAAAAGTAGCAGACTGATTGCCTCGAGTAACGAAAACCATGGAATAGGATCGCCTTGAGCTGTCCGGTTCAGGTTTCGCCGTGGACTTTGAACCAGACATTGATTCGAATCCTCTAGTAATTGCATTGAATCCTATGTCGACATGATTGCATAGTACAGGCTTCGGGGGCCTGGGAATATTTGTCACCGAAGGAAGGACATCCTGCTTTGAGACTTTTGCTTCAAGTTTTGCCGCTCTCTTGCCTCTCGAAGGCTTGATATGTGTCCTTCTATGTTGGCCAATGGGACTCAGCAAACTAGTGATGAAGTCAGCGGAGAAACCATCGCGGACTCTGACCCTGCTCACTTGCAAAGAAGCTCCAGGATAGTATCTTGATCATCAGACGAAATTTCAGGCCTTTCATGTTGATTAGATAAATTAGAAGCTCGGGGAAGTCATGATGTGGGACCCCCATACCACGATACTGTTGAGAAAGGCGTATCAAGATGATGAACCAGGCGCTTCCGGCCAGGTGGTGCAATAGGGGTTGTCATGATGTGTGCCAGAAGGCGTAGGGCGAGAGTAAAACGGCTAAGTCGGATATAGTTCCAGGAGGTATGATTGTGAATCCTCCTTGTCCAGCCAGAAGGTCTGGGTTGCCTTGGTGCAAAGACCGGTACTCCAGTATGGAGTCAAAATAGGATGAAATCATCTGTGGGCCGGGTCAGCATTGAATTGATGAGGTACTGTGTGTGTGAAAAAGCGGGCACCAGTGCGTATCTGCATGTACCTGGGCAGGTCTACGGAGTAACGCCGAGTTGATTCAAGCATCTAGAGGTCAGCAATGTCTCAAAGTACGACACAATATTCCGCACACCAGACTACAGCATCTTGGCATGGTCAAGCCCCCAACACTTTTTGGCATTTGCTGTCTGGTAGTATGGACACTCAGCACGATGCGCATTTGTTAAACATGGCCAAGGACTGCCTGCCTGCTGATAGAAAGGTGATACCGAGTAACTAGAAGGAACATTGAAAGCATGTGGCCTAAGTGGAGAAGCATAGAGGCGCTGGCGTGCCCAATGATCATGTGCAGTGTTGAATTGATGCGTTAGTGCTGCGAGTCCAGGGTAGTGATGGCGCCAAGCCAAGTCTGTAGTTGATCTTTAATCGAAAACCAACTAGAGGGTAACCAGAGGCAAATACCCTTCACCACTTGACAAGCTTGTTTTAATAATGAAGCTAGGGGTAGGTGCATGCCCAGACTTCTTAATGTGCGAAGGCGATAACGGAGAAGGAATCCTAATGTTTGCATCACTCAAGGGCTGTGGTGAGGAGAAATAATGAAGCACCGGACAACACCAAGCTACTGCCAAGCAAGTATCGAGGTACCTAATAGGCAGGGCATCTTTAAACCTTTGGCCATGTGCTGAACAGCGAGGAGTGCCTAGTAGAGAACAGACATGCATGTGACGAGGTCGACGACTCTATTTAGCCAGGAGAACCGTCCCTATGTTTCATTTCCAGAGCTCTGATGAAGCGAAAGCGAAAGCGAAAGCGAGTTCAATGTTGGAATCATTTATGTCTACCATCTGTTCTTCTTGTGTACGGAGTACCGGGAACATAGGGAAAGTACATGCCAGCCGCCGAGGCCGCCCACTTTTGGAAGCCTTGCAGAGAGTACATCGTATGCAAGCTCTCCGTACCTGGACACTGAGGTACCGTTGACGCTTTGGGCCGGTGGGCTGCACGCATCACCATAAGTTTATCTCATAATACTTGAGGACTTGAATAATTTTGGGTGTACGTGTATCGGCGTGCGATTTCTTGCGCGTACCAGATATAAACAACCATCGAAGCTTCTGACGTGCTGTTCGGCAATTTGTGTCGCCACATCTCGAGCTAGTTCCCCATGACGGCATGACAGCATGACGGCTTGACCCCTCGACACAAGTGGACACCTGAAGTTCTAAGGTTGACACCTTACCGAACACACATTGAAGTACCCAAGTACCTAGCTCTAAGTAGCTTGAGCTACCCCTCCAACTCTAAGCCCTCCAAGTCCCTCCAATGTTGCTCCGTCACCGTCACAGTTCCACACAAGCACCGCGTCCCGCTAGCCAATCCGCGCCCGCCATTGCCTTCAAGTATTGACACCTACCCCATGTACACTTGGTACATTTCCAGGTACGCTTGGTACTTGCCTGCCTTTAGCACCAGGCACCTCACCTCTTGAGCGCTCGCTTTGCACTTCACAGCTTGACCTGCTTTCGTCCTCTGCAAGACGCATGTCTTTACCAGCTGTCTTTTTACGACTTTTATAATTCTTATCACTGTGTCTGGCCCGACCCTTATTGGTCATTGGAGTTGAGAGGGCTTCTGGCCTTTCCTTTCCGCACCACACATGTTAATTTTGTGCATCTGCCGCCCAGCCGGCCATCACGACGCTGTGACGTCTTTACCTCGAGCTTAGCCCTTGGGGTGAAGATATCGACTTCCAACACTTGTCCAGGGCCATCGTCCTGCCACACTTCCAACCGTGGGCTGCCGAAGCTGAGCATCCAAGCTGAGCGGCCGGCTCGAGCTGTCAGAACCTGATCGCTCGAGCACTCGACATGGATAACGACACGGACAGCCAGACGGATCAGCCCGCGAGTCCGACAGGGAATGTTGCCGCGACGGCCTCACCTAACGACCCGGACCATAGCCATGCCCCTTCACCTGATCCGCCATCTACTCGCCCAAATCCCTTTGATGACAGTGATCTTTCCGCCCGCAAGAGGCGTCGAACTTCGGGCTCTGCGTCACCCCCACCATCAGCATCAGCATCAGCATCAGTATCCGCATCCGCATCCGCATCCGCAAGCCCGGGCGCATCGACATCTGGGAAAATATCCACAGACGATAAGTCGGCCGTCAAGAGATCCAGCACCAGTACAATGATCATGGGCCAACAGTCTAAAAATACAGGGACGCCTTCTGCAGAAAAAATTGAACTTCCATGTACTCCAAGAACACCAACAGACAGCGCAAAAAGCAGTAGCCCAACACCGCTATCCTCCAGCAAGGTTACCATCAATCTGAGAAAAGTCGCCGACCCTGCTACTGACTCCGCAGAAACTTTTCTGCCGTCATTGAGTAACGACGAGGCTCTCCCGGTTATCTCAAACGTCACCGGCGATGGCCAACAAAAGATGACTGTGGAGGAGTCGCAGCGCGCCAGGTCTGGAGAGGAAACTGCCCAAATGTCGGATTCCGCAAGCCCACCAGTTGAACTAATCGCTATCTCTGACGATGAAAACGAAGAAAGCGACGATGAAATGGCCTTTTCCGTTGACGAAAAGGCTACTGGAATTCTGAGTCGCGAGCTGGTGCCTCTTGACCCTACTCCGCAATTTCCTTATATCCAACGCAATGAAGAGCCATCCCTGCCGCTCCTTCGATTTATTCATCACTTCAAAGCTGGTATGGACATTTTTTATATTCTTTTCTCTCTCTTTTTTACGCCAAACGCCCATTGTCATACCAGTGGTTGGTACTAAGACCTTTACAGATTCCCCTATTAATCCTGAAGCTCTTATATTACTACAAGCTTGGATCCAAGATTATCTGAAGTTTGCCAGAAATGCCGAGAAGTCGACGGTGCTGGACTCTCGGCAAGCAAATAAAAGGTTCTGGTTAATGTTCCCTGAGGCAATGCTACAGTTGTTACTAAGAAGGTATGTGTCTGGCCATCTCCTCTCGCAACCCCTTCCCCCTTCGGGCTCTTCCCATTTCATTTCATTTCATTTGTCCTAGATGTTACTCCCTTTTCAGCCTGGATAAACTCACAAAGCGAAAAAAAGCGACTGTGCATAGGCGTGACTGATGTTCTTAACTAATGATTTACAAAGTTCCGAACTTGTCAGGTCATCGGAGCTGCGCAGTACCATAATCGGGGTCTATTCTACATTTGCCTGTTTAACGGCCCGCATGGTTGCTCTGGACATTCTGGTGCTTCAAGAAATGCAGTCGACCATCGGAGTGACCAATCAGGAGCCTCCCGACCTATACTCCGCAAAGTACCTCCAACAGCTTCATGACATAATAGTCACCGATGTGTCCTCAACAAATGCCGGCGAAGAGAGATCCCTTGGCTCGGAATGGGTTCAAAATGAAGTCGGGTCGTTCCTACTTACTAAATTGCAATCGAGCCAAGGTGGCAGCGTGTCTGCCTTCGCGCATTTGGCAGCTGCCTTGACAGCCCTTGTCCCAAAGTTTCCAAGACTGTTGGAACATTTGGCAGCCATCGCAAAGATTCTAAGCAGTTGTTTGCGAGAATCCGTACGAACACTCGTCACAGGGGGCGACCGAATCGCACAAGCACAGAGCCAATTGGAGATAGGGACCACTATTTGGGACAACATCTCGACTTGTTTGGAAAAGGTAATTGAGAAACACGTTACTCAATTAGGTGTTGAAACAGCTACAAGTCTAATACAAGCTTTGACGGATGTTTTGAAGTGGACGCTGCGTGGAGAACACAGCTCAGCATTCGACACTGCGCGCCAACACCTGCAAAAATATCCCGACCTACCTTATGTTAATGGATTTGAAGCGGTTGCATGGCAATGGAGGCTCGGCATTTTGGACCGTTTAATTCGTTCTAGTCAAATGCAGCTTCGTGTTATGGCCATTACAAGGCTGTGCAACGACCTCGTATCAGTATGGAAAAGCACCATAGACGCCGGTGATGAAAGCAGCAACAGATTTCTGGCATTTATTGGGGAGTGTTTACTGGAGACTCGGTTGATCGATTATATATTGGGTCCGAATTGTCATCCTGAGATTATTGTCGAGAGCTCGAATGTGTTAGGGTTTCTGATCGTTACCAAGCTCTACAAACAGCACCACACCGATCGTCTATGGCAGAGTCTCATGCTCTGTCAAGATCCTCGCATTACAGAGGCCTTAACACGTATGGTAATAAGTATAACCAACCTGTTCGACTACGATGGTTTGCTAGGCTGGTGTCAAAAGTTCCAAACAATGCCACTTGAAGCGTTCTCGCCGGCAATACGCACTCTTTGGGACAATGTCATGAATGACCTGATATCGAAATGTCAATCAGAGCGTCAAACACCGTCATTCGAGCCCTTAGACCTCTGCTTGAGACTATTAAGGGAAGCCTCAGTTTGCACGGCGGGATCGCGAGTAGCCGATCCCGATTTACAAATGGTTGCCATACAAAAATTGAGAGAACTTTTGAGCACCGCACGACCCGATGATCTGGACATTTTGTACCTGAGCTGTCTAGATGACATAGCCAAGAAGTCGCCTACAGCACTGGGAAGTTTGTGGTGCTTGTCCATGTCCATGCGGGGAAACATCCCGAACGAAGTCGAGAACCTTACAAAGAATCACGACCTTGCGAGGCTTCTTGTAGAGGAACTAGCTCATGCAGTCCATGCAGGGCAACAGGCGGGTGCGTTTGCCGTGATATCCGGCGCGCCCAACGGACCTAGAAGGGATCTAATCGCCAGCATTATCCAATTTCAGCCGGCAGCTTTGAATAACGGGCTAGGCGCCATATTGTTGGATATCATTGTGGGTCCGAAATCACCCTGTCTCGATGACCGAAAAGCTGGCTGGTATGTCATCACAAACGTGATGAGAAAGGTATCAATGAAGAACGCGTTTTTGCAAGCTTGCTTCTCCAGATACCTGCCTGGCCTTCCAGCTTCTTGTTTCTCAGATGGCATGCTTGATTTCGTTCGAGAACGAGTCTTGTGTCTGGCCGTGGATGGCAGTAACTTTGCCTTGGATGACGCAGAGGCGCTCTCGCACAGTGGTATCGAGCAGCTGTGGCGGATCATTCTAGAAGCCGAAGACCCCCTCTTGGTGTCTCGGGCTATCTCCACGCTGGCAGTCGATCTATACTTGGAAAGTAATGCTATCAAGTCATATTCGGTCTGTCGGTCGAGGAAGGTGCACATATCGCTGGTCAATCGATGCTTAAACCAGATGAAACATGCCGCTAAGAAGCTTAACGGATCCACCGAGTCTGTCATCGGGGATGACGATGAATCAATGGTGATTGTTGCAACCACTGAGGAGATCCAGCTACAAGAGCGTGTTTTCAGACGCTCTCTCCAGTTGATGAGGTTCTTTCTGGAGAAATACCAGGTGCACGGCCGGTTTTCCGTTGCGGACTTCAGACCGTTGATGTTGGCGACGGTAGAAGAGATACAAGGCGAGTCAGCATGTTTACAGTATCAAGCCTTTGACAACTTGAACCGCTCCGACATTAAGCCTTTAAGCATTGGCCTTGGGAACTCCATTGCTTCCCTTTTAACTTGTCTAAAAAACTCGACCGGATTTGACAATTACCGCATATATTATCGCGGACAGCCGCTCCTTCCCAAAGAACATCAAACTACGAAATCTTTAGAAGAGCTTGGCATACGTGATGGATTCATTCTGGTCAAACAGGAAGAAGGTAGTGCATCACTTGCAGGATATATACGCCCTGGTTCATCGCCACTAGAGATTGAAATTCTGTGCCACTTTCAAGATTTGTGGGAATATTTGAGCATGAGAGAGAAATTGGCTGAAGAAGTGAGTGCTTATAGGCTGGTGAGCAGTACAAGCGAAACTAACTCGTGCAGGTTTACGACTTTCTTGTGAAGCTTCCGGCGGATGGCCACTTCATGCTGCAGTTTGAATCGGATCAGCATGATCATTCGAAAGTATTCCTCAAAGGGCAAGCGTTTCAGACACTATATGGCCTCCATGCCCTAATTGACTATATTGAGGCTGCTCAGCATTCTGCATTCACAACGAGTCACGATGAAGATTCCGTGGGGGCCACGCTGACATCCTACCAAAAGGCCCTCGTGAGGGGCTTGCGACTGATTGTCAAGGCTATAGGTGATCCCGAGACGCTAGATGAAATGCCGGCTGTCCAGCAGCTACGAATTGGAGCTGCAATTCTGCAAGTTTTCGTGAAGCTGTTCACAGGTCAGGGCTGATATCCCCTCGTTTTGGTGCATTGTGATGCTGACTGTTTATCCAGAAGCTACCAGGTACAAAACGTTATTGGAGCTTGGCGATGACGTGCTGCCACATCCTACTCGCCTCGTAGACATCCTAACCAAGGTGGAAGGCGACACAGGTGACACGAGCTTAGCATTGATAGAAAGTGCATGCACAGCAGTCTTACGCGTGGGCTCTGTGAACCAGGAATTTTGGAACACAGTCGTAACATCCACCACTTTTCTAGACATTATGAAGAACTTTCTGTTGAAAGATACTCGAAAGGCGGTGAGACAAACGATTGTTGAACTCATCGAGGATATCACGGGCCCACAAACTCAGCTCTTAACACCTGAAAGCGGCCACTCTGTTTACGGCAACCAGGAAACCAGACCCGTTTTGCTTTCCATCTGTACCGCTCTGATCGAGGGCCTGCCACTTTGCCTCATCCATCAGTCTCAGCCTGAGGAGTATTTCAGAGCACTGCTTCATCTGGTCGCTCGTGCATCCACGATGACTTCTCAAGCGTTGGATATTGACCTTCTCGCAGCAGTGGCACGGGACCTCTTGTTAAAGCATACCTGCATAGAAGTAAGAAAAAAGTGGTGTCATTGCTAGCTATCTTCAGGAGCTAACATACATTGATAGACAATCGATCGACCGGATGTAGCAGACCCAATCGCAGCTGGTCTTGTGGCAGTGCTGCACATTTGTGTTCAGAATAGTCAAAGTCTCAGCACGTCTAAGAACTTTGATGAGTAAGCTTGAATCGCCTTCACCGTTACTTCTACTAAAGCTACGAAGACTTACTAAATGGAGTAGAAACACAATATCTCGGTTATTTTGGCGCCATCTCTTCCCAAGGAAACGACGTGGTGACAAGGACTGCGTTCCTCAAGTGATTCTCAACTCGAGCACGCGGAGGAAGCTCTACGATATAGTTTTCCGCTGCGTAAGATGCGATATAAATTCTTTCGTTCACATGCTTAATACGTTGAACGGTCTTGTGCCATTTTACGTGGAAGAGCCTGGTAGGTTTTTAAGAAATTCCACCAGAATCCCCATATGACACGCAACTGACTGCATGTCTGTTTTGTGCAGATGACCCTTATCTCTACGATCTTCCGTATCAATTTGATCGGTCTAGAGCAATCCGAGCCCCGTGTGGATATGTTGGACTGCGAAACCTCTCCAACACCTGCTATCTAAATTCGCTCCTCACTCAGCTGTTCATGAACACCCAATTTCGAAGGTTCATCATGTCTGTCGCTGTGCAAGACCCACAAGCATCACAGCAGCTACTCTTCTATACCCAGAAGCTATTTGGTTATATGCAGGAGAGCTACCAACGGTTTGTGGACCCATTTGATGTGGTGACCTCGATAAGGACGTATGATGATACCCCCATTGATATTCATAATCAGATGGATGTTGACGAGTTTTACAACTTACTTTTTGATCGATGGGAAGGGCAGCTGCTCAACAAGGATGATAAGAAACAATTGCGTTCATTTTTTGGGGGCCAGTTGGTCCAGCAGGTGAAATCCAAGGAATGCCAACATATCTCGGAGCGTCTCGAGCCATTCTCGGCTATTCAATGCGACATCAAAGGCAAAGCCACGCTTGAAGAAAGTCTCCAAGCTTATGTGGACGGCGAGGTGATGGAAGGTGAAAACAAGTACAAGTGTTCGACATGCGACCGTCATGTTGATGCAGTGAAGCGAGCGTGCTTGAAAGACGTGCCGGATCACCTCATATTCCACCTCAAGCGTTTTGATTTCAACTTGCGAACCTTGCAAAGGAGGAAAATTAACGACTACTTCACGTTCCCCCAGACTTTGGACCTTGCCCCATACACAGTCGAGTATCTTAACGCCGAGAAGGGTGCAACTCGGAGCGACATTTTCGAATTAGTTGGAATCCTCGTCCATTCGGGAACAGCTGAATCCGGACACTACTATTCCTACATCCGAGAGAGAGGAGCTTTTGGTCGATCAAGTTGGGTTGAATTTAATGACGACTCTGTACTTCCATGGGATCCATCCCTGATGGAAAGCGCAACATTTGGTGGCCCAGACCCTCAGTCGTCCCTCCACGACATGAATGGTATCATTTATGACAAGACTTACAGCGCCTATATGCTTTTCTATCAGCGTGCATCATCTCTATATCATGATTCACTATCTGGCAATGCGACGATCAACGGCCGTCCACCATCTGTTGAGGTCCCGGTTCCATTGAAGGAGCATATTCTGAATGAGAATAAGGTGCTGCTTCGCCGACAATGCCTCTTTGATCCGGGCCACAGTGTCTTTGTGCAGCAATGTTTCGGCCACTCCATTTATCTCGGAGAAAGTCAGGCGGCCAAGTCTCGCGCGTCAAAGAATGATGTTGAAAATGACGAGTTGGGAAGGCATGCCGGTTCTGATCTAGATACTTCGACCCACACCTTGCAGAACTTGGCCATGGAAGTGTCTCTGTCTCATTTCGATCAAGTGGTTTCCAGAACCAAGGACTCCATCCTGATGGAATCTTTTGCTTCAATGTTGAAATCTGCCGTTACAAAGTGCTACGATTGCGCACTTGCATTTTACAACTACTTCCATGTGCGCCATGGGGCTTTTCGCTCGTTGGTCCAGCGAAACCCGGATCCAGATATCAGAAGCTTTACTGGTAAGACGCTTGTACTTGCGGCCTCCAAGATTCGAAGCGGTCTTCCGCGACTTTACCATTGCCCAGTCCCAACAAGAACCGACTCCAGCCCAGCTAGTATGGATAGCGAGGATGACTGGGACGATTCAGAGCCGCCACCGTCAGTATTACAAGGAATCATGAGCATCTTTAACCACCTTTGGAGATTCTTTTATGTACATATAAGGTCCTGGGACGAATATTTCGGCACGGTGCTCGCCTTTGCCAGACTTGGAGAACTTGAGGTTGGCCATCTCTTGGCAGACAATTACTTGCTCAAACTACTCCATATTATTAACGCGGATCCGTCAATGGAGTTGCAGCCCAATTATCAGCGCATGGTTAATAACCTAATGCGGCGCTTCAACTCTAAGCCGGCATCCTACACTGCGATTCTGGCACTCATTGACTACCTCATGGCACAGCTGGAACCTAAGTTGAGTGCAGATGTGATTGTGGACGAGGCAGAGGATCGACGCAATGCACGAAAGCCCTTCCCATGGACATCGGAGGAAGTCCAGGCTGTTCACAACCACCCTGATAGCCCTGCGACTAGTTTTTTCACGGAAAAACTCTTGGAGACGGATCAGGCACCAGAGCCGACAAACAGCATTATTGGACGATTGGTCGAGAGCGGAGAAGAATTGGATCTCAGGGTATTCAACACTCTCCGGAAGAAAATCCAAGGGGAGACGACAACGCAGCCAATGGACTCGTCCATCAGGGCAGCTGGGCGGTATGCTGAATGCAGTGAATCGCTGGAGAGAGTGCATATCCTCATTAGGCATATTTGCGCACAAGCACGCAGTCTCCAACACAATGAGGGATCTACGTTCTTGGGTTTTGTGGACTTGATGCTGCGCTCTTGCCGACCCAACGAGAGTCTGGCTCTTACACGTAGAAGCTACATTATTCAGGCGATCCCTATGTGGGCACCGTATCTGCTAGTGTACGGCGACGAGCACACAAGGGGCGTAACAGAGCGGCTCATCAACGATAGGCTCTTTTCGCCCGTAGGACTCAACGTACTTGATGGGCAGGACGACAATGCTGCTCTAGAGCCAGAGACTTTAGAGCACGTTATCCGACAGCTCGGAATCAAGTGCCTAATGTACCTCCGAGACGTCCATGTAAGGGGAAGAATACAGCTTGAGCGCAATGCAGCAGGCAACATTCTACGTGTCATTGGTTACTGCGTTCCATTCTACGAGGGAAGCGACGAAATGAATGACTATGCAGACGACAGCGCCGAGTTTCGGGCCATTCAAGGGGGTATGCGAAGCACCAAAATACTAGATCAAGAGATGATGTGCTGACTGTGATTTAGAAATAACAAGCCCCCTGCAAAGATTGCTTGTGGACGAAATTGAGGATGATGGGTCTGGTATGTTATGTTTGGTTGTACGGCAGTTTGGAGACACGACTAACGAGGAACAGAGTGGGATGGCTCATGTGGCTCATCGGAATTCATGGATGCCAACATAGGCGCGTTGGCACAGACAGGACATCATCTACATGACTAAGGCCATGCGCAGGTCCGTGGCCGACAGCAAAGTGCACGGCGCTTGAGGGATACTAATCTCGATACAAAAATTTGCTTTGCTCTCCCGACTGTCTTTCTTTCTTTATTCTTACTTTTGCTTTTTTTTTTCGGGGCGTCTCTTCATCTTTCCACTGCCAGCATTCACGATACAAAAGGACAAATGATATTATGAAAGACTTAGATCAACGCAACTGGAGCAGGCTGTCAGCACGAGCAGCCTGTGTTTGATGCACATAGCAGCGGTGTCTCGGCGTATGGAAGGAAGCAGCTTTTTATTTCGGTTGACGACGATTTGCGGGGCTGTTTACGAGCGACGGCCCCGTGGTTTGGACTTGCAGCAATGATGTGCGTGATATGGTCGACAGGTCAGAATTTGGAGTAGGCGGATAGCAGTGGTAGAGATAGCAATGAATGACAAGGCGCGTAGGAGTCGAGGTGTTTCTTTCTCCCTTTGAGTTGTGTTTAACTTGGCATGAATAACTGATGCGGTAAATGCATGGGAGCTGAAGGCCGAAATCAGGCTTCATTAAATAAAGGGGGGTGATGAAGTCCAAAAAGAAATACGCACAGAGGGTGAGAATAGCATCAGGCGGTGTTGGCAAAACGGGACAGGCTAACAGGCTGTAACAGTCGACTGGTCATACGACGGTGCTCTCGAGAATGGAAGATAAAGGTCGCATGGTAGGGCCGCAGGCAAGCTGAATTTTCTTCTGGTGATGAATCATGCGGTTTCGGGGACCTCTTTATTGCTTGCTACCTCTGCACTATTTATGGAGCACTGTCGGCAGCGTTGGCCAACGCGTCGGGGAACGAACGAGGGAAGTGAGCGAGAGGCTACAACGATGTTGGTTGGGTTCGACATCAAGTCGAGGCTGTCGAGGTGCTACTATTATTATCGTGCGTCGCCCCTGTTCCCCGGGCAGTCGGACCGTTGACGGGAGGAGCTGGACAGGGCAGAGAAGTGCCGGGCGCTAGGCGAGATCTCATCTGTTGTACTCCGTACTTGGGTAGTACTGGTGATATGTGCCAGGATGACGATGCATGGCCTTGTTGACACGTGGGCGCATGACTTGAGTGGTTTGTTTATATTGACATAGATGCAAAGGGTGGATGGTTGTTCGAGCTGCCTGTGAAGCACCGGGGGCACGGCCACGACTCGAGAAAGGCGTCCGACTGCCAACAAGTGAGTATTTACTCAGAGTCCAGAATCAGCCATTGATCCTGTCATGTTGTACGTGGTGGAATACCGTCATGCCATGATCAGCGGCGTTTCGTCCCGTCCTCCAAACCAAGCCTTGAGTCTCGACTGCCACGTTTCCATTTTTTCTTCTTCTTTTCTTCTATTTTTACCGGGCTTGCCGCTCCCTTACAAAATGCACTCATTCCCGACGAATGCAGGGCCAGGGGTGCCAAGACGCGTGAGCAATCCAGAAAATCTGCAGAGCTGCAAGGTTGATTGATAGACGGGCTTTACGCGATCCTCAGCGCGTGGGGGGCGGGGCGGTGGGAAATCTGGCAGGGGCAGTAAAGCCAATCACAGGCGGGGAAGTAGCTCCCCGCGCTGCCGAAAATACCAAAATAGCACATAGCCGCCGACGACGACGTCCGCGGGCGAGAATGATTGGCTCCACGGATCGGGCCTGCATTCCTTCCTGCGTTGCATCCATTTGCTACTGCATTGACGGTTGCGTATTGCATATGTGCATGCATCATGAGGGCTCTCGTCACAGGCACCACAGGCACCACCCGGCATGGTGGGTGAATTGGCAATACAATGTATCATGGCAGCGTCGTGACGGGGAAGACGCCATGTCTGTTTTCGATGCAAGATCAACCAGACGCTCGCCCGTCGGCGGCAATTGATGGTTGCATAGACGCCACCCATGTTCTTGGTGACCACATGGCATGCCTGGACCCTGGTCCTACGAAGCTGAAGATTGTCAGGGAGTGTTCCCGATGACCTGTTTCATGTTTCAAAGGGTTTCGAGTTTCAGAACCGCTGGAATTGCCGTGGTGCGCCTCGTGGTTGGCGATTGGGTGCGGCTGTCGTCACCGAGGTAATTTGGACGCACGCAACCACGCTATTCCCCATGATTCATGATGCCCATGGTTATATATTCCGCATACCCACTTGTTTGCAATCCAGTTCGGCGCAGTTGGGGGAGCTCATGATAATTTGTGTTCACTCTTTTGGGCCGTTCGCATCGTTTTGCCATCTGGGAGTGTCTGGTTGTCTTGGTGAGACGCGGAATGCTGAATGTTGCTGTGGATGCTCGATGCTCCTCGTGAGCGAGTGTTGATCATCCAAAGTTCCTTTTTACTACCAGTCTTTAAACCCGTCACCGCTTCATTATCTTTGACCACTTTCCCTGTACTATTCGCCATCCTCTTTCTCCCCCCCTTCTTCTTCCTTTAAGGAGCAATCATTGACATCGTCAACACCATGGCGTTAAAGGAGCAAATTTCTTCGCCCCTCGAGGCTGGGCCATCCGTCCTTGATGCTCGCCGTCTTCCTCATCACTTGACTCCCGCTCTCGAATATGCCTCGTCTCGACTTGCCAAAAAGTCTCTCCATCTTACCCTTGTCGTCGTCCGAAGTGACTACCAACTACCAAGAGTGATTCCTCCGCTGGCATCACCCGGCCTGTCTACTCCAAGCACACCAGCCTCTCCGCCCGCAAGCAAGTTCAGCTTTTCTACCAGTCCTGTCACCGCCTTGAAGCAGCTTGTTCGGACGGCGTCACGACAGAACTCGGAACCAGCACAGTCCGTCGGCCCCAAGAGTGCTGTGTCGTCACCGGCCACAACAACCCTGGACTCTCCTGTTCCGAGATCTCGATGGCCTCTCTCGCCTTCAACGCCTTTATCTCCGCCTCCCATGACTCCGTGTACACCGTCGTCTGTTGCCACGGATTACACTGGTCCTATGACACCGGGGGGTTGTGGGATGCGCTTTATCCATGCATCGAATTTAAGTGCCAAGGATCAAAGAATCCAGCGGGCTGTGTTTACTAAGACAGCACGAAAGTTTAGCTTGGGGTAAGCTCCTGTAACAATATAAAAAGGGCCAAGTGCTATCGAAACCCACGCTGATGTGTAAAAAAAAAAAAAAGGTCATCCCTCTCGCCGGCCGTCGATCCCTCAACTTGCGGCCTGACCGCCCAGCTCATCACCGACTCTCTCATCCAAAACGAAATCCTCTTCTCTTCCGACGGCCTCACCCTCCTCTCACTCGAGCGACTGTACAGCCTCAAGAGCGCTCTGTCGAGTTATTCCAAAACCAAGGCCCACTTTCGTCTCGAAGACGCAGTCGACGAACTCCGTCGGTATATCCTGGCCAACAACGGCGAAAAAGCAACCAAATCAGATCTATTACGCTCATACGACTGGCTGAGTGTGAGCCCGACCGCCTTGTCGGACCTGGATAAAATGTACAGAACGGCCTACGGCGGACCAGACGAGGTAGGCGCCATATCTGGAATTGGACCCCCGCCACCCACGATCCTCCCACCTTCTACATCCGAGCCAGTGATTCGCTCTGACGAAGACGGAGACGAAGACGACGGGTTCCTCACTGAGTATGACGACGACCCCGATCTGAGTCCTACGCAGATTGGACTCGCAGTGACCACGTTTGAAATGAGAAAGCCCCCTACGCCCAAGGGTCCGATTTTGAAGATTCAGACCAATTTCAGGGCGAAGCCTGTGCTAAGGAGCAAACCCGATTGCAAGGAGGAGGATGCAAAGAAGGAAAAAATTGAAGATTCTGACAAGAAAAACAAGGCGCAAGATGAGGAAGACGGCGGCGATATGACAGCACGACCTCTTGAGACGGCGCCGCAAGGACGCACACTGTGGGCGGCGTCGATAGACAATGTCCTGAGCGCGGGTGTGACGAGTCCCGTTGGAGATTCTGCGTGTCCTGTACCAATGACTCCGAATGGATATGATGATATATCGCCCATAACAAGGGGAGAATGGGGATTCCTGATGGTCAACAATACGTTTCGCGGGGGCCGAACCGTCGCAGTAGAAACGTGTTGACGATGAGGGCGACACTTTACGAAATTATGCCTTCTTGTATGCTAGAGCATTCTTGTTTCCGTTTTTGAGTATGGCAGGCTAAGCATTGGGGAAGCGAGGATACAATGTAAACCCGAGCCGTGCAAATTGCACACCCAAAAGAATATGTTGCATGTAGGATTCGACGGTATCATTATATATCGACTCTACCAGCCGTACTTGCTGCTCGTCGCCTTCTTGTTGCTTTTGGCGGTTGCAAAGCTATCCTCCAATGCCTCCCGTTGATTCTGCACATTCTGCACCAATTGCTTGAGGGAATGTTTGCCACCGCCCTGTATGGAGCGAACGGCCCTGTGAGCCTGCTGGTCGCCTGCTGCGCGGACACTCTCGTTGTACTGGTACTCCTTGTCCATGTTGAAATTGACCACTTTCTTGACTGCGAAGCCACTCCCGTCACGACCAAAGAGCTCTCTCCTCGCTGCTGCGGAGAGATTTAGATCATCGGCAACGGTGTCTAGGGACTCGGGGTTGCTGGATGAGTTGGTGGTAGCGGTTTGATACTGTGTCGAGTCTGCGTACATGGTGGCAACCTGTGCGTCTGGTTGATATGCGGGTTCAAAGAGAGGTTCGTAGGTGCCGGCTGAGAAGGATGGTGTAGGGTCTGATGGTTCTTCGGTGTGAACAGAAAATAGGGAAATTCTTTTCCTTGGTGCTTCCGCCGGAGCAGCTGAAGCTGTTGCTGCCCCGTTTGCGTCTGGTTGAGTTGATGGTGTTTGTGGTGTCGCATTTGGGATGGAATTTGATTTATTCTTCATCTTCTTCTTGGTGTTGATGCCTACTGATAATGGCCGGAACATGAGTGGTTTCCCGACCAGCTTCACCTCCTCGGCTGGTTTCTGGCCTTCTGGTATACTCGGCGCGACATCTTGTTTCTTGGGCGGTGGTAGCTTCATCCCC